CTAGTTTGCTTCCTGCTGAGAGTAATTAGGTTTCTTATATAATAATAATTCCTTGTATTTAGATGCAGCCTTTCTCTAAGGACCTTAAAGTACCTCTCAGACATTAGCTCATCTGTTCTTCTAACACAATTGCCTCATGAGATAGGTGCTAATTATTCCCGTTACGAAGAGCAAACAACTAAGGCTCACCAGAAAGTGGTGCTTCCCCCGCACCCCCAAGGTAACACATCAGTGGAAAAGCATTGAGTCAAATTAAAGTCACCCAATTCCTCGATCGCCTGCTCTACATAGGTCTAAGAGTCCAAGGGGTGATGAATTCTTTACAGACGGCATTTCACCCACATTTATAAAGCTCACTAATACTGGGCACTGGTTGAGTGTTCATCCCTTACTAAACACGGCTCTCTTCTTGCACTGTGACTGATGGAGAAAAACCACAGCATCATTTCATCATTCATTGTAAAGAGTGTAAAACTGTGCAGAATAAATAGTCTTGTCCAACGGCTGAGTATCTGCAGAAAGTAAAAGGAGGTAATTTAGACTTTGATTGGGATTATTTCAGCAGACCATTCTGCCAGATGTGCTTCACATCATTTAGAGCATTAGAAAGTGGCAAGCTGAATTGTATAAATGTATACAATATGTTTATGAAGTTTTCAATATTCACTCAGATGACTCGACATAAGCTACCTCTGCCTGTCTGGAGTTGAGGCCCTGAATCTCTACTTCCCCAGCAATTGAGGGAAATGATTCTTTTTCTCTTTCCTCAATCAGAAAAGGAAGAGTAATAATATATATTAACCTCAGAGAGGTAAATTTAATTCAAGTGTGATTCCACTTAGAAGATAGACTTGCTAAATAAAAATGTAAAAATGAAAGCAGACTGTGATATTAAAATGAGAACTGGCCATCAACAAAATTGAAACAATTTACTAATCAGGTCTCAACACATTGAAGTCACATCAAAAACATCTCTTGAATTAGAGATGGCATTACAGTTGTCTTCTGCAGTTGCCATTTGCTTTCCTGTCTTCATATGCTACTAGAATGCATTAATTTTTCTTACTATTTTTTCTTTCCTTACCTTTCTTTTTTTCCTGTTTGAGTTAAGGTAGCCCATTACACAGAGAGTACACTAAAACCAGTATTTTTTAAAGGCCAAAAATGACTTTTGAATAAGTCAGTTGCTGTTTAGAATTAGGAATACTTTTTAAGCCAGGCATGGTGGCTCACGCCTCTCATCCCAGCCCTTTGACTTGAGTCCAAGAACTCGAGACCAGCCTGGGCAACATAGTGAGACCTCATCTCTACAAAAATAAAAATAAAAATTAGCTGGACATGGTGGCACACAGCTGGATGTGATAGTCCCAGCTACTAGGGAGGCTGAGGTGGAAGGATCACTTGAGTGAGCCATGATTGCCCACTGCACTCTAGCCTGGGCAAGAGAGTGAGACCCTGTCCAAGAAAAGAAAAAAGAAATATTTTTAAAGACAACCAAATGATTCCTGAGATTAACTCAACTTTTCCTGAGCAAACCTATTCTTAAATGATTACTGTGTTGTTCTGTGAAGCCTTGGAAATAGAAATAACAAATTGGTGTAGGAGCCAGCAGTGTCTGCAGCGTGATACAGAGAGCTGTGACAGTGGATGTCAGAAGTGCCTCTCCTGAGTGGATGGGCAGTCAGATTTAGACTCCCTAAATTTCTTCCCTTTACAACTAGACATTAAGATGGATGGTGATGGAATAATATTTTGTTGATTGGGGTATCGGCAGTTCCTTTCTGCTCTAACTTTCTGTGATTCTATTTTTTTTTTCTTACTATTTGCATTTGTTAAAAGTTCTATACTGTAGTCTGTGGTCCAATTCCCATTCGGCCCTCCTGAGTGCATTAAATGTTCCTGAGCGTGTTAAACTGGTGTATTTGCATTTTATTGCCAGGAGGTTGTGCTGTAAACAATGGGGTTGAGACACCAGCTTGAGCCAGGGGATGAAATTTTATTTTAAAATCTGAAATGCTGTGTAAGCATTTAAGGTATGAATTGGTAATTGTTTCACAACAGCTTCCATTAGATATGGTTTATTTGTAGTCCGTCCTCTTTTCAAGGATCCAGGGGAGTGTTAACACACTGAAGCGCACCGCATATCATTTACATTTTAAACCAGTGTTAAGGGAAAATGACCATAACTTTTAAGACTTCTAAATATTGGAATGGACTTTATGCCTCTGTCCCTGGAGAAAACAGTTTTAATCTTTCATTTGAAAATAAGAAAAGAAACCTTCCCGCTGTGATTAAGGATTTGAATAATTCTGAAACAGAGAAATACTGTTAGAAAAAGAAAAGTCTGGTTCTAAGATTGAGAACTCTCTTTCTACCCCTAATGAATTCAGTAAAATACAAACTTTTAAAAATCATCTGTCTAATTTGAGATTCGAGATCATCAAATTCTGTCTAAATATTTTGTTTTAACTTCTAAGCTCATTATGGTCTCTTTGTGTTAACTTGTATTAAAATCTGTCAGCTATGACTGGTCTCATAAGCACAGTCAGCGGACCAGAATAAGTTAATTATTTACTTGTGTCACTAGTGCTCTTCATCTAATGAAATGCACAGCTGTGTTAGATCTGCAGTTGGATGTGTAGCTTCCATTGTTCCTCAAGTCAGCAGAGGGTAGAAGCCGCAATGATGGAGAGCCCTCAGTTCTTTCTGCTGTTCTGGCTTTCTGTGTCGATTTCATGGATCTTTTATCATTCACTTTCACACAAAACAAACAACACAGGGCTGTCTGCTATGGGAACCATCTTGGCATATAAAAGGGTTTTCAGGGCCTAAAGTAATTTTAAGTCAGCTAAGATTTAATTTTTGACTTACAGGTGCCCTTGGTGCAGATATTGCCAAAGCAGTTCCTATAATAGAAGGAAAAAGATCCAAAAGCTACTTATGTGTATTTTTTTAACAAAATGTCAGAAGAGGGCTGATAAGAAAACAGCTTCCCCAGAAGGAAGCTCTGCACTAAATATGATTAATCAGATTTCAAGCAAAGGTATTAGAGATTCACATTTCAGTGGAACGAGCACTTTTTTCATTTTAATAACATAATAAAGTTGCATTTGCTTAATTAAATATGTCAATTCAAACTGTAAACACAAAATGTAAGTCATCCTCTCCTTACCCACCCCCAATATAAGTACGTCATGCTTCCTTGGTCAGTTTCTGCACCTCCTGCCCTCACTCCCACCTTCTCTTGATGGAGGGTGGACAGGCAGCTTCCTCCTGAGCAGACGCCGGCCTCCTCCTGCGAACCGCTGCTTAAGGGTGCTGAGGTTTCTCTTTGGTTTGGTTTTTTCAGGGGTATAGCTGAACCCTCCATCTCCTCACCAGCCAAAATTCCATTCTCACTTGAGCTGGTCCCAGAACCGGCCCCTTTAGGGATTGCCGTTTTTAACATTTTGTTCACTGCTGAACAATGTTGTTGTCGGTGCACCTAGATTTACAATTTGATCTCTTTCAAAGTAGATTTCCCAGTAGCCCTAGGGTTTTGTCAGATAATTTCAGTGTGGATAAGATGGATTTTTGGAAGGAAGAAAGAAGGGTCACACACTCTGCTTGATTGAAATTCTAACACATTGTAGCTGAATTTGAAATAAAGTGAACTGAATGATTGTTTCTATTCTTCATGTAGGAAAGCATATATTTATAATAAACAATACCATTTTAACCCAAAAGCCAATTTAAACTAACTACATGCTCTAGAATTCAACTCCACAAACTTAATATCCATATTGTGGGCAGCTACAAGAAATCAGAATATTAATAACCAGTATTACATAGGCAAATGGCATTCTTTTTTCTTTTGACTTTAGCTCCTGGTGATTATAACAAATCACAAACTATTAAAATAGTTTGAATAATTACATACAGTCAAATTGAATGAAATATTTGAGAGCAGTTTCTTTGCAATAGGGGCAGATAGTGGATAACTTTACGCACAGAGAAAAGGAATTTTATCTTTTACTACAAATGTAAAAGCGTTTGTTTTCTTAATCCAATGCCACTGTACACTAGTTTTCTGATTCTAAATTATGAAGATTGTAGTTAACAATCTAAATTCTATTCCTACTCCTCTTCCCAAGAAAAAGAAATCAGAGGAATAAAAAACTATTTAGCAACAAAATCCCCTATAGGTTAGAATGATATTAAGGGAATTAATTTAAGAGAATATTAGTAGTGCATGGAGTTGGTAGATTTTTGTTTTGTTGTTTTCATTCTTAGAATTCCATTTCTAATTCTAACCTCTTTTTTTCCAAGAACGATTTGGCATTTAATTTTCTTGTTCAACTTTACAAGTTCAATCAAAGATCACTTTCCTAATGGGTTGTAAGCTATAGGAATTAAAATTCCTTTGGGCAGTTTAGACTCAGCCAGGGAAGCCCTGGCAAAAATCAGCCAACCAGCCAGAGCACTGCAGCCTATATAGAGGTAAACCTGTTAGCACATCAGCCACGCACAGGTACTTCTTGTCACTGTTTTTTAAAACCACATTGTAAGCACACCCCTCATCCAGTCATTTCTGTGTTTGGGGTCAGAGAACTTGGATTTGTTTAACTTGGGTGCAGAACCCCACAGGTCACAAACTAGCTGATGAGGAGCAAAACTGCTGCTGACTTAAAGCTTCAGGGATGGCCACAGGCCTGGGGTCCAGTGAAGCCGCTGTTCTTCAGTCTCTGTGGCACAGGAGGGTGGGCAGGCAGCCTGACAGCACCATTGTGTGCCATGCCAGCAGCACAGAAAGGCTACACTGCCTTTCGCAAGGAGAGTCGTTTTTGAACTGTTTGTCCAGCAGGATTGTTGAAAATTGCTTTTGTTACTCTTGATAGAGGCCATGGGGAAGATTTTAGAGCAGTGGAAATAGAAATAGCAGCAGGGAAATCCCAATTAAGTACTGTATTCTTCCTTTCTGCCGATTTGCTTTATGTGGCATGAAATCTTCTCTCCCCCAGGTGTTTGTGGCTTGATTGTCCCCCAGGAAGACATGCCATTTTGTGATTCTGGCATCTGTCCGGATATCATCATGAACCCACACGGCTTCCCATCACGAATGACGGTCAGTGACCTGTAGGTTTTTCAGAGGCACTGCCTTTAAGGAAGAAGCAGGCAGTTAGTTTAGTTAGAGTGGAGGTGACAAGGACTCTGAAGCTGTTTTTTCAGGTAGAGCTCTTTTGCTGCTTGCCAGATAAACAGGCTTCCAGCCCCTGACGATTCTGAGCCACTCTCCTGTACAGAAAGAATGAGGAGCTTGTCTATACCTCCCTTTGAGAGTGGAGTCTTCTGAGTGATGAATTTGCCCCTCAGCAAAAGAGAACTCCTTGTATTGAACCTAAATGGATCTCCCTTTCAGTGATTATTTTTGGTGATCCTGGCTCCACCTCTTACCAGCTGTGTGGCCTTGGACAAGTTGCTTATCCTCCCCATACTTCAGTTTCTTCATCTGTAAAATGAAGAAATATACGACCTATCTCATAGGGTATTGAGAGTCATAAAATTAGATCACACATGTCAAGCTTAAATACTGCTTCTGTTAATTTATCACTGTTATTAATAGTGGTCGTGGGGAAATAAGCTGGAGATAAATAAGCAGAGAGAGTGCTTGTGCCACAGGGAGGTGCTCACTTAATTTGTTCACATCCCACAGGTGGGGAAGCTCATTGAGCTGCTGGCTGGCAAGGCCGGTGTGCTGGACGGCAGATTCCACTACGGCACTGCGTTTGGAGGCAGTAAAGTGAAGGATGTGTGTGAGGACCTCGTTCGTCACGGTTATAACTACTTGGGGAAAGACTATGTTACATCGGGCATCACAGGGTAAGCATGTGATTGAGCTATTTTAAAGAAAAAGAATAGTTTTACTAGGATAGGGGAGACAAAGCTTTAAGGTGTACTCTATTAAGTATACTTGCAGGCAAGCTTATACAGCCCGTGGGCGGCACGTGGCGCAGGACGGCTTTGAATGTGGTCTGACACAAATTCGTAAACTTTGTTTAAAAACATTATGAGAGTTTTTCATGATTTAAAGAAAATTTTAGCTCACCAGCTATCGTTAGTGTTAGTGTATTTTATGTGTGGCCCAAGACAGTTCTTCTTCCAATACGTCCCAGGGAAGCCAAAAGATTGGACACCCCACCTTAAGGTGTAAGCGTTAAAGCTATATGCCTTAAGCTTTATTTTTTTAGGAAACTGGATACCAGAAAATCTAAATTTAGAAAACTAACAATTGTGGAGTGCTGTTTGTACTAGTAAGATTATAATTTAGAAAGTAGAAAAGATTTTTGGGAGGCCAAGGCAGGTGGATCGCCCAGGAGTTTGAGACTAGCCTGGGCAATGTAGTGAGACTTCGTCTCAAAAAAAATAAAGTAGAAAAGATTTAATTTACCATAATATGATTTCTACCCTATACCTACTTTTAAGGAACACATCAATTACATATAATGCAAAGTTTTCCTTTAACTCTTGAACTTTCCCTGCATTTATGTGATGAGTATCAGAATAATAAATGCTTTGACAGGTAGACCGAGGCCTAACATTTGTGCATGTGTTCACTAAAGATGTCCTAAGCACCTACCTAATATGTGCTAGGCACTGAGTATATACCAATAAATATAGTGGACATGGTCCCAGTTCTATGGAGCTGACCATTTAGGTGTGTTGCTAGACATTAAAAAATAACAGACACAAGGTAACTTCTCAGTAGGGCCTACTGTGACCATCTAATTTAAAACTATAACCCCGTACTGCCCATTTGCTGCTTTATTTTCCCTGTAGCACTCACCATTTTCAAATATACTACATAATAATACTATTGCCTGTCTCCCCAACTAGAACGTAACCTCCATGAAAGCAGGGCTGGTCTGTTTTGTTTACTGTTCTATTTCCAGGGCATAACACAGGGCCTGACATACGGCAGGCACTCCATAAACATTTATTGAAAAAAGGAATGCAGACAAATAAATACAAGTACATATAGCTCTCACCAAAATGGAGACAGAGTGGGTGAGAAGGCCCCTGTGAGGAATTGGATATGATATTTCAGCTGAGAGATAAAGGGTGAGAAGGATAGGGCTTTCGAAGAGTGTTTAATGGAGAGGAAAAGTTATGTTTAACACTTTGCTAGGGAAAGAGCTTGGTAAGTTCAGGGAATAGGAAGAGGCCAGCCTGGCTGTGGTGCAGTGAAGAGGCAGTGCTGGCGGCCCAAGGTGAGGGTGGAGGGGAGATAGAGCCAGGCGACCAGGCTTGGGAGCTTGTGTTAACCTGTGAGAAGCAGATCCCTGCAATGATCGTGAATGACAAGGTTCTGAAGCCGGAATCACCGTGGTTTTAAAGGATCAAATTAGTTGCCTAAATTAATACACACTTATGTATTTTATGCCAGATAAAACTCCAGGACCTAGTGTTTATAGTGTTCTTCTAGGTGTTGTTTTTTGTTTGGTTGGTTTTGGGGTTTTTTTGTTTTTTGTTTTTTGGGGTTTTTTTTTTGAGATAGAGCTTCACTTTTGTTGCCCAGGCTGGAGTGCAATGGTGTTGTCTCGGCTCACTGCAACCTCTGCTTCCCCGAGGGGTTCAAGCAATTCTCCTGCCTCAGCCTCCTAAGTAGTTGGGACTACAGGCACGCACCACCATGCCTGGCTAATTTTTTGTATTTTGAGTAGAGACGAGGTTTTGCCAAGTTGGCCAGGCTGGTCTTGAACTCCTGACCTCAAGTGATCCACCCATCTCAGCCTCCCAAAGTGCTGGGATTACAGGCGTGAGCCACCGCGCCCTGAGGTTTTAAACCACTTGAACACTAGTGACACTCAGCATGGAAGCATGTGTAAGAACAGCGCTTGATTTTAGTGCTGCAAATAGACTCTCCAGATGTGATTGAAATGGTTGGAGTGCTTTTAAAAATTGCCTATTAAGACTATAATAATATGGATTTCTTAGGTGTATCATTCCTGATATGTTATAGAAAATCACATTACAGGAAAAGACCAATGGACCATTTCAGAAATGGTTCAATAAAATAATTGTGACCATTTCAGAAAACATAGTTGTCATTGCTAAATTCATTAACCTTCTCTTCACATCTCCACCCAGAAATAAGGCACATTTTTGGCCATATGTTGACCAGAAAGTGCAAAACCATAGGATCAATTTGGTGGACCTTCATGAACATAATTTGTACTGAAAGAATTGGATGGGTTATATCCTGCTTGCCATAGATAATGGTTAGCCTATATCCCAGTCCACACTGCCTTTCCCTATGCCCCCAGCCAGAGTTTTCATTTCTTTGCCATTTATTTCAGTGACAAAATCTGAGAAGCACTGTTTAGTTAAAAATTGCCGAGGGCATTTAAACATATCACCACCAGCTTTCACCTTTTGTTCATTCTTGAACATAGGTAGGAGGAAAAATTGCATATGGCTTTACTCTATGGATGATGGAATAGCATTGGGTAACTGAGTGTCATAAATTCTACCATGAGCAACCCTACCATTGAGGAATAGAATCATTCACTGTTAGAGCTGGAAAGAATCTTGTTCTGACCGCCTTGTACGACTAAGAACGCTCAGCTAGAGAGGTCATGTAATTACTGTGTGACAAAACTGAGACAAGGACAGAGTCTCTTGATACCCTCTCCATTGTGCCTTCCACTCTATTCTGTGTCTTCCAAGAACCAGGTTGTGCTGAAGTTAGCAGAATGGCCTGATGACTGCATAAGCCCTGGCTTAGGATGCTGAGAATGTGATCAGGGACACGGAGCAAGCAGGGGCCAAGCTTTTTCTTTGCCTCTCTGCTGTGTCTGTTGTTTCCTTTGCTTTTTCTGCTTTTACATCGTGCTGTAGCCCAGAGTTTACTTGTTCCAAATCAGACCAGTGTCACAGGGAGAGCCCTGGATTTGAATCCCCACTGCACCACTCACCAGCTCTTACCTGACCTCTCGAGCTGTCTGTGTCCATTTCTTCATCTTAGAGGTGACAGTTCTTCCTCCCTGGATCATTGTATGGATTAAGTAGCACATGGTAGATGCTTCCTTCCCTTTGAAGAAGGAAGTTTGAGGCAGTTAAAAAAAATTTTTTAGGACGTCAGTGCTCTGGTTGTTCTTGCTCCAGACTAATGAGAAAAGGTTTCTTCTGTCAAAGTACATGTATATTCACCCTCTTCTTAAACTCTTATTACAGCCTTTCTAAAGATTCATTGAATCAGTTATGTAATAGACATTTACTGAGTACGAGTTGTGTGCCAGGCAGGGTCACAGGTGCTGGAGCCACCGTGACAAAGGAGACAAAGTGCTTATCCTTGCAGAGTTACTTCTTGTGGGGAAGACACACAATAATCTGAGAGATAATAAATTGTACACCACGGTATCAAAAGGGGCAAGTGCACCAAAGGGTCAGGTTGAGACGGGGCCGGAGTGGCGATGTCAGGTGGGAGGAGAACTTCTTTAGATGTTCAGGGAAAGTCCCTCTGAGCAGGTGAAATGTTTGACAGAGCCATGTGAGTACCTGGTGGGAGAGTGTTTCAGGCAAAGGAAACAGTAAGTCAGAGGCCCCAAGAGAGGAACAGGCTTGCTCCATTTGAGGAGTAATGAAGAGGCCAGTGTTGCTGGAGTAGCGTGAGTGTCGGGACACGGGAATAGGAATAGTGAGGTGTGCAGGAACTGGAGTATGTCTCACTATAGGACCATAATATAGAATGTTGGCAGTACAGATTCCGAGTATGATAGGAAGCCATTGGTGAGTTGAGGACAGAAGAATGACCTATTGTGATTTACATTTTAGAAGGAGTCCCCTGACTTTTTATGCAAAGAATAGATTGTTGAGGGATTAGAGTGGAAGCAGGGAGATTAAATAGAAGATTGTCTGTGGCAGCCCAAGCAAGAAAGGATGGTGGCCTGACCAGGGAGGTCACCCTGAAGGAGGGATCATCCCATACACACTGTTTCCCAACCTGTTTAAGTGTCTATTTCTTTGTAAAACTATTTATCTTTGAATATAGCTATGGTACTTTTCATATTTTTAGAACTAGTCTTTTCATTCACTACAGACTGAAAATCATTCTTATCCAGTCAGTCATAAATGAGTAAGGACCTGCCAGTGATGGGTCCAAAGGCTGTCTCTTGTTAGCCCAAACGTAGTTTCTTAACCCACAACACTTGATCTTTCTTTCAGTGAGCCCTTAGAAGCATACATATATTTTGGCCCCGTGTACTATCAGAAGCTGAAACACATGGTGCTGGATAAAATGCATGCCCGGGCCCGGGGCCCACGAGCCGTCCTTACCAGGTAAGAGAAAAGTACCTACAAAAAGAATTGATAATGCAGTCAAGCCCACCTTGTATTTTCCAGATATGGCAAAAAGCAGACTCAACAAAGTTTCTGTTTTCCTGAGATGTCAAAATTTGGCAAGTTTGACTTTAAGAAAATCATATATGTATGATTAACATGAAAAAGTAGCAGCCAATTACAAAATATTTCACAAGTGCAAGAGCAAACCCACCATAGGTCTTGCCAGTGGACTCCTAACACAACTATTTACTGTGTAAATGTCTGCAAATATGGTCCTATTTATAAAGGTTCATATAAGAAGATGTGTATGTATATACCCACACACACATTGATATGCCCCTGTGTACACAGAAGACACATGCATACATTATTTGTTAGCATAAACCACAATTGGAGTTTTTCAAAACTAATGTTATTGAAACATAAGGCACCTCCACTTGCAGACTTACTTGAGTAAGCTAGAGGAGGTTAGGGGCCACCTGCACCCCATACAGGTATACCCTCGATCCCAAGCACAGTGTCTGTGTGTTAATGAATGGATAAATTTCTTGGGAAAGAGAATTACAGCTACTAAGTTTCACATGTTCTTAGTGCTATTTTTTCCAGTTGGAAATGCATAGTCGAGGGCAGTGGTTCTCAGCCAGGGATGATTTTGCCTCCCAGGGGACATTTAACAACATCTGGAAACATTTTCATATGTCCCAACTTGGGGTTGGGGAAGTAGCTACTGGCATCTAGTAGGGAAAGGCCAGGGATGCTATAGGGACAGCCCCTCACAACAAAGAGTCACCCAGCTCAGTATGTCAGCAGTGCCAAGGTTGAGGAACCCTGGGCTAAGGGAGGGAACCCAGGCCTTGGAGTCAGACGCTCTCATCTCTACCTTTTCGTTCCATCACAAGCCTTGAACAGATCACTGATGACCACAGTCTGATGAAATGCTCAGCTTCAGCATTTCTCGTATTTAAAGTGGAGACAATATACCTACTTAACAGGTGCCGGTAAATGTCGAGAGTGTGAATACAGAATGGATACAATGCCCATCCACAGGTGGCATCGGCAAGCATCCGGTTCCCTTCCCACTTTCACTGAGCACAGCCTGGATGTAACAATGTGGAGAGGGGGCAAGGATGAGGCAGCTCATGCTGGGGCTTTTATTTTTTTTTAAACCAAGGGAGAGGTGTAGATGACTCAATTCCTTGACCATTTAAAACTGAGCACTTGCACATTTCTGTTGAAATGATAGACACATGTGGGCTTAAAACTGCAAAGAGGGAGGAGAAGTTGAGATTCTCAAGACAATAATCACTTCAGCAATGGGACCCTCATTGGGTTAGATGTGTTTCTCCCCTAAATGCTGTCCCCTCCTAAACTTCCATTTCAGTTACAACATCCAAAAACTATTTCAGAGTAACATAAATGTCAAAGCAGTTATTTCCTATATTTTGCTTTGTTGTGTAGAAAAAGTTATTACTTTGGTATTACTTTTGTGCCTTCCATATGAAGACTGCCTCGAGTGCATTTGTCTGTAGTCAGTTATCTGAAGTCAGTTGGTTAAAATCCAAGTATTGGATTCTGTCCACATGTGGTCTGTCTACCTTTACCTTGTTCACTGACCTCAGGTGGAGGAAGCAACTGCCCATGCGTGTTTCTACTGGCAGATAAAAATGTATCAATGTGCTCAGTTATGAAGTTTCCACTATAATGTGTTTATTTAGACCTATTTGTAAGTTATTCATGTGCATATTTCCTTTCAACAAGTATTCTACAACTTCTTTGATTTCACATTGAAACTTAAAACCACAACAATTCTAAAAATCGTAAAATTTTGGTATGTGTTGGCATACCCTGTGTTCACCTTCTTAATTCTTTGGGAGATGGCAGCAACAACAAAGATTAAAAGATGCTATGGAATACAGCAAACAAGGGGTGCATGGTCACCCCTGCTCAAAGATTACCTTTAAGAAGCCTGCCAGGGAGCTTGCTTTTTTTTCCCCCAAATAATTTGTGTGATCCATACCTACATGGGGTTACCTAAATTGTTCAGATCCCCCTGATTTTACCTACATCTCTGGGTTCTGGATTCTGAACCTTTTAAAGTATTCTCAAGCCCAGCATATACACAAACCACAGGGAATCCATTCAAGAGGCTAACAGCTCTGGCCACAACTACTGGAGGATCCAGGTTCCCCCCCAGTCTGTTCTGCTTAGTTTTTCTGCTTTTAAATAATAGAATACTGAGACATCTTTGAAAATACTCAAAGACATTGTTTCCTGATTTGAAAACTCTGCTAAGTTCTAATAATAATGATAGTGATGGTAATAGTAATGGTGTTTTCTCTGATTATATATTAATATGTTGTTATATCATATGAGATTATGTAATTATATATTAATTTCATTTAACCATAACAACCATCAGTATTTTTTCTCAATTCAGGCTGTTTGGGATAGGTGTGCTTATGTGCTTTTACAGATGAGGCTGAGTAGCATGTTCAAGGTCACTGTCCAGTTATTGATTTGGATCCAGGTGAGCCCTGCTCCAAAGCCTCGTGCTCTCTGCCAGCATGTGATGCTGCTTCTTTGTTTGTTTAGCAGAATAATAACACATTTGTCTAATAACTTGTTTCAAAGGCAACCCACTGAAGGACGGTCTCGTGATGGTGGCTTGCGTCTTGGAGAAATGGAACGTGACTGTTTAATCGGTTATGGAGCCAGTATGCTTTTGCTAGAGAGACTAATGATTTCAAGTGATGCCTTTGAGGTTGATGTCTGTGGGCAGTGTGGACTTCTGGGGTACTCTGGCTGGTAAGTGGATACCATATGTCTCTCATACCACACCTCTTGCCTCTTAAATCACAGCTCAAGAATTGACCCTGGATCCTATCCGCGTATTCTCCAGCCTCTGTCTGTGATCACTAACATACCCTCCCTCATGCATGTATTCCTGTCATTGGGGATACTCTGTGTACATGTCTCATTTGTCTGCATTGTGATCTACTTCCTACACAGCTAGAGGCTCAGTTCCCAAGGAGTACAAACTTTATCTTCTTTTAAATATTATCTCAGGTACTTTTTATAACACTATTTGCCTGTGAAAATTCTAGCAGATGCATTGTTGGATGTTAGAATCACAGTGTGTTAAAGAAACCTCTTTAGGGAAGATTACATCGAATGCTTTCATTTGTAACTTCAGACCCAAAGAGCCAGGGATGCTGCCCCAGGTCTTACAGCAAATTGGTGACAGAGCCAAGAGCCAAGACCAAGACGACCTGGTACCCTGCCCCCTTGTCTGTACTCTCTCTGCCAAGGCTAGCTGCTTCACACTTGTACGGTAGATTCTGTGAGGGCAGAAACCGGGTCTGTCTCAATAATTTATTCAGCAAACATTTAGTAAGTATCTGCTAAGTGTCAGACACTGTTCTAGGCCCCAGAAATGCAGCAGTGAACAAGACAGATGATGGCTGCTCCCAAGGAGCTTATCTTCTACTTTATTCTCATTGCATCCTGTCATGTTTACCCTCATTTCTCCAGCCTGGGACCTGGTAGATGCTTCATGAAAGAATACTGGTTGAATGATACCCTGCATTTATAGGATTGCCAATAAGTAAATCATGTTGTTTGTAAAGTTTATAATTTCTGTGTAGAGTTTGGTACACAAAGGTCACCTTAAAAGATGACACTAGATTTTTTTTTGTTTTTGTGCAGTTGCACCACCTTTCCTATTTGTAATGATTCCACTCTGTCGCCGAAGAACAAAAAGCTCGCTTAGGGTTATTCCTAAAACACTCCTGTGGGCAAGAGAATCTGTAGTTCCCCAGAGGCGAGGGGTTTTTTATTTTGTTTTTGGTTTTGTTTTGTTTCGAGACAGAGAGTCTCACTGTCACCCAGGCTGGAGTGCGGTGGTGTGATCTCGGCTCACTGCAGCCTCAACCTCCCAGACTGAAGCGATCCTCTCACCTCAGTCCCCTGAGTAGCTGGGACTACAGGCTCATACCACCACGCCTGACTAACTTTTGTATGTTTTGTAGAGACAGGGTTTCACCATGTTGCCCAGCTTGTCTCAAACTCCTGGGCTCAAGTGATCCCTCCCACAGTGCTGGGATTTACAGGCATGAGCCACCACGCCCAGCCAAAAGTGAGTTCTTTACTTAACTTTTCAATCAGAGGCAAGGTCCAACAAGATCTAAGGCAGAAGCTGCAGAGCTTCCAGCCTCACCCCCTCATTGCCCCTCACCTGCCCTCCCTGGAGTGCCATTTCTCTAGATAGGGGCCATCCCCAAGATATAGTTAGGCCCAAATAACATTCACTGCTGGAATTTGAGGAATTTGTGGGCCACCGTTTCCCCATTGAGTCCCCACTGTAGTTTCCTTCCAGACAGAGTCTCAACTTCTTGCCATCCTGAGCTACTAATTTCTAAGTTGAAAAAAGCCAATCACAAGTTGAACAAGTGGGCTTCTTAGAACACAGTGTATCCCTTGCCAGATAAATGTCAAAACCTTTTAGCCAGTTATTTCCTGATTTTGGTGTAGAAGACTCTTTGTCCGTGAAGAGATCATTTCACTTTAAAAACTAACAGAAGAGGTGGCCATTTGCAGTTCATCTTTCATAAGGTTGCAGAGAAGAGGTGACATGATTCCGAGGATAAGCCTAGCTGTTTCTTATATGAATGAGATGAGGGTTTGCTTCAGTCCTGAGATGTCTGTTTGTCTTTTGAAATGCATATTGAGCTTGCTTTTTATAGTCTGGGCTGTGCAACCAAAAAGAAAAAAAAGAAAAGAAATCATGTAATAGGAAGATGCCTGAATCCTCGTTCCACTATGCTTAAATCTTCAAATTTGACACAAGCATTTTTAAATAATTTACTTCGAAAGGATGGTACAGAAGAATCATGTCATTAAAAATAGAGGTCATGGAACTTCAAAACGTTTCCTTTTCTCTTCCTCCCCCTTGCATTCTTCCTCCCTCTCCCTACCCCCAAAGAAAAAAGAAAACAGTCAACCCGATTCACTTATGCACTTTGAGAACCTTCCCCCCTCCGCCACTGGTTACCCAGGGAAGCTAATGTAAGCAAGAAGACCTGTAAGCAGTGATTGATCCTCAACATCATTCTGCTAAATGTATATCTTCTTTCCTGCTTCATTTCTGTCTCATTTAGAGAGCATCTGATGGCAGTGTCTGATTTTGAAGCGTATGTGTTCAGTGTGCATTGTATTTGAAATCCTTTGAAAGAGAACTAAATCAGGTTATACACTTTGAGGGTCTTTACTGTAATTAAACAGACCTCAATATATACCGTATGTCTGATTTTGAGTGGCCTACTTATACCCTTGTTGCCAACAGAAAAAATCCTAATCCATTCTAGTAGTCTAGCCGCCGCCTCGGGTGCTGCTTTCTGGCCGAGGAGCATAATGATGCTGTCATTTTTCCCATCATTACCTGATCATGTGTGCTAGGTTGAGTGGGAGGGAGCATGGGCGTCGTTGGAGGAAGTTGCTCTTTAATGAGCGGCACAATGGAGGCTGGGTAATTAGAGCAGTTCGGAACCTTGAAACTGGCCTTTTGTCAGGGATTTGCACATTAGTGAGGCATTGCTATGGGGATGTTTACAGCACGACTGTTGTTCTACAGAAGACACTAAGGGTATAAGTCACAAAAGCGAGGTCCAAAAGGAAGACTTCAGGAAAAAGAAAATCCCTGTTAAGATAATTAGCTCATAGAGGATGTTTCACTGGACAGTCATTTCTCATGTGAAGCCACAGCCTCCCCTTTTTGCTACCTTTGCCCTAAAAAAATCCGTTCATTTTATTGTTGTTCAGGTCAAGTTTCTACCTTTGCAAATTGTTCAGATACAAGGTAAGGTCAGGTTTTATACACACACATGCACACTGGAACATTTTAAATGATGGAGAAATATTTAATAATAGAGAAGATTAAAGGGCTTTCTGGAATATGAATCAGTACATATGGAAATGTAAAATAGATTAGCTTGGATTGGAGTCATTGGGTAACGTACTAGTCAGAAGAAGAGAAAAGTTACCCCTGTTAAATCCATTTCCCCAATTTAATGAAAGCATGAACATGATTCCTAGATAGATTACATCCACCCAAGCACATTAAAAAGATAATTTTTAAACTCGAATGTATTAAATAGGTCTTTAAATAATCTTTTAAGAAAAAGTAACTCACCAAGTTTATATTTGTACTGTCGACGGATCAAATACAGGTTAAGCACCCTGCGTCGCCTCGTCATAGCATCAATTGTGCATTTGTGAGGGTTAGTCTTCTCTCATTCTCCTCCTCAGGAGACTGCATAGTTACCACCACCGCGTGTACATTCTCAGCCTCAGTGCTTGCTTTTCTTTTCTAAAATAATACAAGCTTTATTTTACTGATTGCAAAAATGATCCCTGCTCATTGTAAAACATTCAAAAGTTACCACAAATATAAAGCGAGTCACATTAATTCCCACCACCCAGAGATGACCACTATTAACATTTTGGTGACTCTTTCAAGATTCTGATAAGAGGAGAAAGATACAAATATACACACACAAAAATTAAAATTTTACATATGATTTTGGGGGCTCCATACACTTACAAAACCTGTTTGAGGGCCCCCTTGGGACCATGCTGATTAACAAACTGCTTTTTTCACTTCACAGTTTGTCCTGGACACCTTCCATTTCAATAAATGTGCGTCCACAACAGCAGGTCTGATGGTTTCACAGTCTTCTATGTAAATGTCCCAGTGGACATTTGCATAGTCTCACGTTCTGCTGTTATAAATAGTATGGCTGTCAACATTCTTGTACACATCCCTTTGTCACTTTTGGGATTACAGAATCAAAGAATATGCACATTTACATTTTTACACACACTGTCTTACTGCCCTCCAGAATGGCCAATCCTTTGTTCACTAAGGAATCCTCCTCCAGTTCCTGGTAAGCACCAGATCTTCCAAGCCTCAGTTGCTATTCTTCTTGGATTCATTTTCCTCCTCGTTAACTGTGAGGACCTAGTTTTCTACCTGTTAAGAGTCAGGATTTGTACTGGATACCTACTGTCCCAGCTGCTGCGGACCCTTGAGGAGTAGGGTAAGGTCCTATTTTGATCTGAAACCTGAAAGAATAAATCACTTTCTCCCCAGGGACCCTTCTACAGTTGTAGCCATTGATTTAAGAACTAAGTTCAGTTTACCAGCTCTTCCGGAAAGAAGAGAAAATAAAGTCCTAATTGGAATATGAGGCAAATTGGTTAGGAACATGGGCTGTTGTTGTTAGGGTTAAGTGGAAATATATTTGCACATACACACATACATACATTTCTTAATTTCGCACAAGGGACAACATGTACCTTCCAACACTCATAGAAATAACCAAGCCTGATTACCATTTGATTGAATACCACTGTCCTATTCAGAAGTTTTGTCTTTTCCATCAGACTTTATGTATCTCAATGACAGAAACCAAGTTATAATTGTTGAGCACCTTGCCTAGAATAATATACTGCTAGTATAGTAGATGCTTATCAAATACATGGAAATTGATTGAATTAGTTTAAAACTCCTTAAACAATGAAAAAAAATGAAATTTGGGTAAATTTCCCAATGGTTCAGATTTCTGGGGCTCTTTCAAAACAAGTATATAGGCAGATGTTTTACATTTTAAGGAGAAAGGGCTAGATGTGTGGTAACAACTGACTCAACTTGCATGCTTTGAACACCGGAGGGAATGGTGTTTCATTTTTTCTTTTGCTTCCTTGGATGTTTCTTTTTTTCTGGGCACATATGTACTTATATGACAGTGCAACTGAACACTTAGGAACAGAAAGATAATTTGATAGAATGATAATAGAACTTTATAGAGACCGTTTTCACTTCCTACGTGAAGGCCTTTGTTTCCGAGTTGCTGTCTAACACTTGCTGACTTGGGTTTCAGGTGCCATTACTGCAAGTCATCCTGCCACGTGTCTTCCCTCCGTATTCCATATGCCTGCAAGCTGCTCTTCCAGGAGCTACAGTCTATGAACATTATCCCCAGGTTAAAACTGTCCAAGTACAATGAATGAGGATAGAAAAAAATGATTATTAAAGAGAACAAGCGATACATCCAATACAATGGAAAGCAGAAGGGATTTAGGACTACTACTCCTCCTGTGAAGAATTCCCTTGTGTATTCTGTCACTAAAACAAACAAACAAAAAAATGGAGAGGCTTTTGATATACTACAAGACTGGCTAAACAACCTTGATCAGTGAACCTTGAGCCATGGGAGAGATGCTGACCGTGTGGACTGCAAGGCAGCTTGATTCACAGATGGATGTGACCTACAGGAGAAATAAACCATTACTTATGTGCTGATGTCTTGACATTCACTCATTAGAAGACCTTACTCCTTCAAGAGAATGTCTGGGGTCAAATTTACCATATCTTCTGGCTAACGATCTTCAAGGTTCTTCTGGAAACTTGGAAGATGTAAAGAATCCATTTGATTTGGTCAGCCTGGCTTTTGTGGCTGGCTCTGATAAATTTTCCCAACAATTAAATCTTGCCTTTATACACCGAAACTTTGTAATTTCAGTCTTGGTGAAATATAATGACATTCTTGTCAAGCAAGAATGTCATCTTCCCTTATGGACTCAATTGCTATTATTTTGAACCTCCATGATTGTACCATGCAACAATATTCATTAAATATCTGAATCTAACCCCGTGGCTGCTTTGTCATACTCTGTCCCTTCCATACCTGCCAGGATGCTAGCTGTCCATTTTCTTTTTAACCTGACAGGCTTCCTTACTCATTTCTAATTTGTTTTCAACTGCTGCCCTGAAGCCAAACATTTATGTTAAGAATTGTTTGTAAAATCAGAGTCAGAAATGCTTTGAGTAATGGCCTAAGGCTTCATTCCCAGCATGTCACACTGAAGATGTTCCACAGAATATTAATAGGTATCATATACCAAGAAGAATCAAGCTTCTATGTCAAACTAAGGTTGAGAAACTGGGGTAACCAAGTAAATATTCCACAGGACTTTTTCAAAGCCTTTAAAGATCCCAAGCTAATGTGTACTGGGTTTCAAAAGAGGGATGTTCCAGGGACCCAGGCTAGTCATTGACTTGAGAACTCAGCCTCACTTCGTTTTCTTCACAGTAAAAAATCTCTAACACACGTAGGTGCAGCAGTCATAGAGGTATCAGTGAAAGCAGAATGAAGGACACTGCAGGCGAGCAGGCCTTCCTCAGCCCTCATGGCAGGGACTCAATAGGTATCTTTTTTATTTTTTTTCTTTTCGGACAGGGTCTCACTCTGTCACCCAGGCTGGAGTGCAGTGGCAAGATCACGGCTCACTGCAGCCTCAACCTCCCGGGCTCAGGCTATCCTCCCACCTCAGCCTCCGAAGTTGTTGGGACTACAGGCTCATGCCACCACACCCAGCTAATTTTTGTATTTTTGGTAGAGACGGAGTTCCGCATGTTGCCCAGGCTGGGCTTGAACTCCTGGGCTCAGGTGATCCACCCACCTCAGCCTCCCAAAGTGCGGGGTTCACAAGTGTAAGCCACTGCGCCTGATCTCAATGTGTATTTCAACAGATATTTCAAAAAGGAGTTTGAATGCCTAGATCTTTGCTATGCCAGTTCCTTTTTTTACCCTAGCTTAGGGTTCTCAAAATTGATGGTGCATTAAGGATTGTTGTAGTGGATTAAATATACAATCATACTGTACTTTGTGGGCTTTTAAAGGAGTTTTCTAGGGTGATACTGATTATCTCACATCGTGTAGCAAATCCACTTCCCAAATCCATCAAAGATGCAGTTGCCCTGATATATATATATATCTCAGCGTGGGGCACACTATTTCAGTGAACACTCAGAGGGTCGGGCCGGGAGGGTTAAAGGCAGTGTGCTGGGTGCTGGCAGGAGGACTTGTTGTTCATCATTCAGTACCTGCCACGTACAAGGCACTGGACTACGGATAAAAGAACAGGATAGGCCTCTGCCTGACCAAGGACATGGTCTAGTGGAGGAGGCCAAGACGTGTGTGCTAGTCATGGAGCACTGCCCTGCAGTCAGTGCTGAGGATTAACCTCGGCAGTGCTGAGGGAGTGCCTAGGGCGAAGCAGCCAACAGTGCTCTGGAGATTTGGAAACACTTCACAAGCATGATTATGCCCTTTATACATGAAGAAACTGACGCCCTATGTAGCTAAGTGACTCCCCAGAGCCTCACTGCTAACAAGGGGGACAGCAAGGGCCTCGGGACCAGGCATTCTCACATACAGGGCTTTGTTCTGGTTTTATCTGTGATTATGTTTTACAGCCATCAAAAGTGATCGTTTTTTAAAAATTCAGATGCCCTTGAATGGTTGTATCTCTTATAAATGAACATCTTTCTTAGGAAAACATTCCAAGCCAGTCTAATCTTTCTGAGGGGAGTCGCCTTTCTAAGTGTCTAGGAAATTATAAGTTCTCTAAGTTTACAAGATCTAGAAAGTATGGGTTTTCAAACCGAGACATCCTTAAAGGAAAATATTCTATCAGATTGATATCTCAAAAATTAGCAAATACCACATTTGAATAGCTATTTGACTCTGAGAAATACTTTAATGAAAAGCAGCCAGACACTAGGCATGGTGGCAGGCACTTGTAGTTCCAGCTACTCAGGAGGCTGAGGCAGGAAGATCACTTGAGCCTAGGAGTTTGAGACCATCCTGGGCAACACAGCAAGACCCCATGTCTAGGGACAAAAAAAAAAAACCAGCAGCCAGATTTGGTAAGCTAGTCCCACTACGGTTTTATTTTTTTAAGTTATTTGTAAGTTAAAAACAACTGATTTACAAATAACTTTAAAAAATAAAGTTATTTTTTATTTAAAGAGTTTATTTAAACTTTATTTAGAGTTAATTATTTACTCTATAAATAGATTTCCATTTCCAGTAATGATAGAGTAACGTTTTACAGACCACCCTCAAAGCACTTTTTTCCCTCCAGTCTTTTGCCAGGCTGGAAGTGGCACAGGATGAGGCTACAAAGCCATTAAGAGTCTGTGACCCTGACATGAGCTTTGACAGAATCAAAGGGCTAGGGAGACAAGACTGTAGGCACAAAGTTGCCCAGCTGCCAGGATCGGAGAGGCCAAGATCCCATATAGAAAGGAAGTACACTGAAGTGAGTTCAGGTTCTTCACCACTCCTCTGGATTTGCCAGCTCCAGCTGATAAAATGTGAAATCACTGACTAGGTGGATTTAAACGACAGAGATGTATTTTCTCACATGTCAAGAGGCTCAACGTCCAAGACAAAAGATGTCCACAGGGTTGGGTCTGGTGGGCCTCTCTTCCTGGCTGCTGGCGGCCACCTTCTCGCTGCAGCCTCACGTGGCCTTTCCTTGGTACACAATAAGGGAGCACGTGAGTGAGCTCAGGTGTCTCTTTTTAGGATGCCAGTCCTGTTGGATCAGGGTCCCACTCATATGTCCTCATTCAACCTTAATTATTCTCTTAAAGGCCCTATCTCCAAATGGGATCACGCTGGGGGCTAGGGCTGCAACATATGAATTTGGGGACACACAGTTCAGTCCATTATACGCTTGAAGACATTTGCCAATTCATAATAGCACGGATAGAACTTGGCGGTATCTATTAAAGCTAAACATACCCAGCAATTCCATTCCTAGTTGTGGGCCAGCAGAAATATATTACGTGTATGTTACCAGTATGTGTGTACAAAAATGTTTCTAGCAGCGTTATTTATAGTAGCCCCAGGTTGTAAAAAATTCCTGCCTATTAGCAACAGAATAAATTGTGGTATGGTCATTGATATGGTTTGGCTGTGTGCCCCACCCAAATCTCATCTCGAATCGGAATCCCCACGTATCAAGGGAGGGACCCGTAACCCCCACGTGTTGAGGGAGGGAAGTGATTGGATTATGGGGGTGGTTTCCCCCATGTTGTTCTCGTGATAATGAATGAATTCTCACGAGATCTGATGGTTTTATAAATGGTAAATTTTTTCTGTGCTCTCACACTATCTTTCTTGCCTGCTCCATGTAAGACTTGTCTGCTTCCCCTTCTACCATGATTTTAAGTTTCCTGAGGCCTCCCCAGCCATTCAGAACTGTGAGTCAATTAAACCTCTTTACTTTATTATTTAAATTATGCAGTCTTGAGTAGTATCTTTATAGCAGTGTGAGAATGGACTAATACAGTGATACAGTAGAATACTCTACAGCAATGAAAAATGAGCTGCTGCTACATATAATATCATAGGTAATCTCACAAATATAGGGCAAAACAAGTTAAGCCCAGATGGGGTGCGCTGGCTCACACCTGTAATCCCAGCACTTTGGGAGGCCGGAGGTGGGTGTCATCTGATGTCAGGAGTTCAAGACCAGCCGGACCAACATACTGAAACCCTGTCTCTACTAAAAATACAAAAATTAGCCAGGCATGGTGGTGGGCACCTGTAATCCCAGCTACTTGGGAGGCTGAGGCAGGAGAATTGCTTGAACCTGGGAGGTGAAAGTTGCAGTGAGCTGAGATTGTGCCACTTCACTCTAGCCTGGGCTACATAGCGAGACTCCATCTCAAAAAAAAAAAAAAAAAGCCCAAAAGAAACACTATATTAGTTCCTTTACAGCTCAAAAATAGGCAAAATTAACATATAATATGAAGAGTCATAAGATTTTCCTATGCAGAGTAGGTGGCTAATGGTTAAGAGGTGCAAAGAGTAGGGCTTCTAGGATGCTGGTAATATTTTTTTTATCTGAGTGCTGATTACATGGATGTGTTCATTTTATGAAAATGCATTAAGCTGTATTCACTCAAGACTTCTTACCTTTCTGAATGTACATCATTCTTTTAATTTACCAGGTGGCTTAAGAGTTTAAGAATACAAGCTCTAAACCTGTTTCAGTCTCTTCACATAGTAGATATTTCACCCCAAATATAACATAGTGTGTGTGTTCTTTTAGTTTTCCCATCTTCAAAATAGAGAATGTAATAGTACCAACACCTGGGGCTATTTTTAAGATTAAATGAGATAATGCATCTAAAGGACTTACCACAGTGCCTCGCACAAAACAGGTGTTCATGAATGTTTGTTATTGTCTTCATTGATGATAACCAGTAATAATCATATCCACCTTATTAACAGCACTGCCAGGACTGGCAGTGTACAACTGTACAACTTCATCAGGCAAGAGTTAGGAAAGGCAAACCCTGAGTTTCCTTTGGAAGAGAGAGTTTGGAAACTAGGACCAAGTGTAGAAACCATAAGATTTTGCAAAAGCGATTTGCGAAAGCTGCCCTGTTTAACAATGACGGGCGTAAAGAAGGGGTAGAGTTAGTGAGCACGCTTCCCTGGAACAGCCATTTAGCACTGACATCAAAGTGAGGCCTGTTGTCGGCGCGGGAGTCCCAGAATAGTTTCATGAAGCCCACAGAACGTTCTCAAAATGCTTCCATGTGGTGAGAGTCAAGTAAAGGATTAAAAAAACACAGAAGTCCTTGATTGGGTGCTACATAATGGGATAGTTTTCAGCTGCTTCAGAGCATTTTGGCCAACACCTTTATTTGCAGTAATGAACCACATGAGGGTGAGCACATTAGGGCTGGTGGCTGGGCCCATCGGTTCTCGGCCATCTGAGTAATAGAGGAGCCAGTTTCGGAGAGACCTGTAAATAATTTCGTTGTGAAACGGATGGTCAGAAGA